ATGATGCAGAGCTTAGAATGTAGCAACCTTTCCAGTGTGGGAAATGGGTGAATAAAATGTGTCAAATGGACTATAAGAAACTTGTGAAGCTACCTATGTGTGAAGTGCTGTTAAAAGAGAAAGCAAGGCCCTCTATGTTGGCACAGCAGGTTAAAGCACAGCACTAAGAAGCTAAAGCCACTTCAGCATGAGTTCAATCCCCACCCTGGTGCAGGTGGGGAGGTGACCCACATGGTGCAGCAGACCTCTCCTGACCCGCCCGCTGCTCCTCTCAGCAGTGTACTTTGGCGATCTGTCTGTTCTGCTCCCCACCCTGTCTCTGATGAATCCTCTCACCACACCTGCGCCTCTGGCCTGTACCCCAATTCTGTATGCATAAAAAAATAAATCTTTAAAAAAGAGAGAGAGAGAAAGCAAGTGACATTATTATAATTTCTATGTGGACTGAGAGGGGAGAGAGGGCAGAGACTTAGGAACATTCAGTTTCACTTTATCTCCAGTGCACTGTGGTGACTACTGACACTTCCACACACAAAACTCAGAGAAATAAGATTACCATCATATTTTTAAGTAGTAACTAAAACAGTAAAGGCTTTCCTCAATAAATGACTGGATACTTTAAATCCAGTAGACATTTCAAAAAGCTCAAATCTCAGTCAAATAAGTATAATTCATATCATAAACTAAAGATAAAAAATATATATAATACCTACACTTACATGACACCTTTTCCAAGTAATGATTATTTATCAGAAGTCTAGTTTAAAACCGAAAACACCACTGATATTAAATATTCTAAGTGAGTCAAAACTGATCTTAAATACAAGTGAACTATATAAAGAGATTTACCTACTCCAACATGGGTGATGCCAAGGGGAAAAAAAAAATTCAAAATTAAAATCTGCTGACATTTTCTAGAGTTTTCATGTATATAAGTTCTTCCACTGAAAACGAACACTTCATGTATCATTTAAGTGAGTCTGTAGTTTTCAGCCAGTGAACACTGGAGTCTCTACAAACTTGCAGAGGACGGACTGTGAAAGGGAGATTGTGAGAACAGAAATTTCCCATTTGCTGCCTTGACTTCAGACAGGCCTTCTCCTCCCAAAACCCCAACTCCCATATACATATGGGCAGCTGTATATTCCCAGTCTAAATACAAAACAAGAATCAGAGCATTTTCCAATGACTGACGAAGAGTTAAGAAATGGGCAGAAATATAAAACTGTATCAAGGATGCTGGCAGAGGAAAATTTAAAATGCTTGTGGTTAGGAGAAAAGGATATTTTAATAAAATGGACAGAAAGGCCACAGATACCTTTTGGAGTTGAGTGCAGGGTGTCTCAGCAACCATGGCCTTCCAGGACCCTCGGGTCCCCTTCCATTTGCGGATGTTGGGCAGGATCGGCTGGTTTAGCTCCGCACAGAACTGCAAAGACAGGAGTGAAAGTCGTGTGTGTTCCCATCTAAAATAGTTGTCACTCAGTTAAACCAAGGACACAGAAAACTAAGTATATCTGACTCATCAGCCTTCCTGCGTGACCTGGTAGACTTCATCCATCTGTTCTCAAAAATCAGGGGCATCAGGGTTTATCAGCCCCACAAATTAAAAGATAATTTTTTCCATAAAAAACTTGCACTGATCACCTGGGGACTCTCAGTTGATAGAAACCGACGCTTTCGTAGCACTCTTGCACAAATAGTTCAAAATGAGTTGTCAGAAATCTTTCATCTTTATAAAATCAATGCATTCAAGGTCCCAGAGGTATCAAACACAGAGGAAAAAAGATGACTACATAGTGTTTTTCTCCCTGGGACTTAGCTTAAAGGTGCATAAACAGACACCCAACTTCACTTTATTCCCCATGTTTTTCTCCTGGGAAGGAAGCCCAGCTGTGGTGGTTGGCTGCTATACCCCAGATGTGTTGGCAGGATACAGTGCTTCTGCACCAATATGGTGTGGGAACTGGAAAGAAATCTTATCTCCAATACAAAATAAAATTGCACAAAGTAAAATGAAGAATTGACAAAGTACTGATTCAAAGTATACACATCAGTTAGAGTTCCTCAAACTCATGTCTCTAACACAGCCCCACCTCTAGAGTATGATTCTTTTGAGGGGTCCTCAGAATTGTTCACATGTGGGCTCAATTTTCAAGATGCTCCCACTTATGGTATTTCCCCTTCCTAGTGACACCTTCCCAACAATTCACTTCATACAGGGAACACTCCACTCTTCTCTCTGCCCGGCCATATCTTTCCTTAAGTCTTTGGCTTCCTTCTGGATACGCTGGCTTCTCTCTTGATAAATGGCCTGTGACTAAACTTCTTGGGCCCACAGCTCTGGCTTAGACCTCTAGCCCAAAAGTCCCCAAATTTGTAACCGTATTTGAGATTTCTGTCCCGAGTTCTGAATTTACTCCCACAGCCTGCTTAACATGACAATCTGCAGGCCCCCTTAGAACCACAAAACCAGCAAGTTCCAAAAGAACATGCTGTTCCCTTCCCTGACCCCAGTGTCAGTTCCTGGCATTTCCATCTTTCCAGCTGTTCTCACTCTTCCTCTCCTCCAGGTCTCCTTGCTTCCTGGTCCACTGAGTCCACACTAACAGGTATCCATGCTCCCACCTTTGTTCTCCTGTGCCACTGTGGGTTGTTTCAGAGCTCTGTCTTTTCCCACATGGGTCCCTGATATTGCTTCTAAGGTGTCTGTGGACTTCTTTGTCATTTTCATCACCTTCCTTCTATGTATTGAGCAGGTGATAATGGATGCTCTAATGCACCACCCCTGTGTTTCTCAAAGTGTAGTTTGGGGCCCAGAAGAATTATAATCACTTGGGAATTGGATGGAAATTCTCTGGCCCCTGCATAGACCTGCTGTACATCAGGGTGGGGGTGGTGCCCAGTGATCCGTGTTAAACAAGGCCTCGAGGTAATTTCTGCTAAGATCTGAGAACCATGGCAGCTGCCCTGAACCTCCCTGAGCAGCTGCCCTAGATTCTGTAGGCAGACAGCCATCAGCAGGCAGCCCCTTCTGGGCATGCCTCAGCTGTATACAATGGTTGAGAGGTGCCAGGGCTAACAGTCTGATCTTTGCCTTCACATTACTTATTCTGCAGGGAACAACTCCACAAGCTAGCACTCGGCCAATCAGATCTATAATGACAAACACTGTGAAGAAAAAGAGACTGGACAAGGGTGGTCCACTTTGAATATGTGATGTGCTAAGAGTTATGCTGCCTTTGCAGTTAGGTAATTAAGGGTCTCCTTGCCCCAATAGCAGAGCTGTAAAGGCAAGGACTGTACCTGAATTACCTTTCTAAAGTCCAGAGCAGGGAATATATGGTGATGTTCTCCAATGCAGCTCAAGGGAAGCCTGTAGTCCTCAGGTCTGGTGTGACAAAAGGGAGCTAGTCTCTTTGGAGCTAATTATCGAAAAAATTGCTTCAGCTTTAACCTGACTTTAAACTTGCCTGAAAAGTGTTCTCTCTGGAATTTGGCCATCAGTGACTTTTATGAGTATCTTTTTACACTGTCCAATGTTGAGTGTCTGTGGATGGTGTTATTCTTAAAAGGGGGCTTCTCTCTGGATGAATCCCCTGGCTGGAAGCCATCATCAGATGGGAAATGAAGCACTTTAGAAAATGTAGTCAGAATTTATCGAGTATAACTTGAGGAACCCAGGGAGAAACTGTACTTCACAAAGAGTCCAATTTCCTGCCTGGGAATCATTTGCTTGCTGAGTGATCATTAGAACTGAATCCAAGAAAAATTAAAAAGGAAAGCAGCTCTCTATGCCCATCTGGGGCTTCTGATCTCCACGCAGGCATCTCAGACCTGACTACTCACCCAAATCTCTCAGATGCATGCTGAGAAACTCTGTTTTTAAAATGTCCCCTAGGTAATGAGCCACCTAGCCAGAACAGAGAGCCCCACCCTCTGGGGGGGCCACCTGCTAGAAGGAGTTCTCTGCAGGCAGCTAGAAATCTGCCTCCCCTCACCCTCATAGGACCTTTTGATACCCACTGTGGGATTTAAATCCCAGCCTAGCTTAAATAATCTCATTCCTGGCAATGCCTCTTTGATGGGATGGCTCAGAAGTTTGAAGAGGTGGCATAGGTGATGTCATTGTTTTCTATGCTCACCACTCTGAAGAACTATTTAACTGTGTCTTGGGACTAAAGTTGTGCCAATCAAAGTATGGTGATCAGCATTCTCAGGTCCCACTCGGGGCTGAATCAGAATCTCAGGGGGAACCAAGCAATCTGCAATTAACAGCTCCCAAAAATGTCTTGACACAGATTTAAAGTGGGTGAAGGAGAGGCATGAGAATCATAATCCCCAAACATGCCTTGATTTGGTACATCTGAAAGCTTGTTTTTACTAAGCTCTCTTAGTGCACATATTATTCCTCTCTAATCTCTTTGTCAGTATTGGTTGTTGCAGACAATTAATAATTTCGGGGGCCAGGGAGAAAAGTGTTTAAACTGAATTCAGTCTATGCCTCCATTTTCATGATCCACATTAGGTAAGGGGATGGTATTATCTTGTAAGACTAAAATGAGGATTGCTTAACTCAGGTGACTGTTGGCACCAAAAGCTCACTGCAAACCCAAGGGGTCTATCTTTTTGCTTCGTACAACTTCTGCTACTCCTGGTCCTTGGACCAGGAACCTGAGTCTGTTAGAAATGTACATTCTTAGGCACAGACTACCCACCCATGGGAATCTGCATTTCTACAGGATCCCAGGGTGATTTGTAAGCTTTGAGATGACTACTGTAGTGCCTCCATGTTTTGTATATACCAAATTGATGCATGCAAAGCCTACAAGAGGCAGACATCGCTAATAGGATGCCACTGAAGGACAGCATGGAAAGGTTAAGTCCAAATGTGTTTAAATTCAAGATTACACAATAATAGGTGTTAAAGGAAGAACCTGACTCCTGTCAAGTGGGGCAATGGTGCAGGGCAAGTTCCATGTAGAGAGATCAGCCTGCCTTTACAAAATCCTTACATCATACTTTCTCCCAGAAATTTAAAAAAAAAAAGCATCCTCTGAGAGCCTGAAGTCTGAATTCTATCTTGAACTGTTTTTATATAAATGGTTGGTTCTTGGGCCCTCCCTGGTGGTGCAATGGGTTAGGACGCAGCACTACAAGCCACTTCAGTGCAAGTTTGACCCCTGGTTCCAGAGGTGACTCACATGGCTCAGTAGACCTCTCTTGTCTCACCTGCTGCTCCCCTCAGCAGTGTATGACGTTGATCTGCCTATTCTGCTTCCCCATTCTGTCTCTGGTGAATCCTGTCACTGCTCCAGCACCTCTGGCCTGTACCACAGTTCTGTATGCATAAATAAGTCTTTAAAAACAAAAATAAAGTAGTAAAATGGTTGGTTCTCAAATTTTTGCTTTCTCCCACATACGAAAATGAAGAAAATATACTCTCATAAGGGACTCTCAAAGATAAAATTAGGGTTGAGTTGGAAGGGGGAAGGTAGGTGTCAATGGAAAAAGCCTCCCAGTAACTCTGCAACTGTAAATGAAAAAAACCCCACAACCCCAGTATTATTTCTAAAATTCTAGGGGCTAACCCATCACGTTTGTTATTTATGCATATGAGAACTAGGGTACAGGCCAGAGGTGTGGGGGGTGAGAGGATTCACCAGAAAGAAGAGTGGGGAGCAGAACAGGCAGACTGACTGAAACATACTGCTGGAGGAAGCAGTGGGTGAGACAGGAGAGGACTGCCACGCCACATGGGTCAGCTCCCTGGCTGGGGATTGAACTCATGCCTCAGTGGCTGTGGATAGCTTTAACCCTTTACCCCACCAGGGAGGGACCCCTCATCACATGTTTCTTATATGATCCATGTTTTTAAAACAGCAGATTTAGGAACCCCTCACTGACAGAATCAGAATCAGAATCTCTGAGATTAGGGTCACTTCTAATAATTTCCCCAAGCAAATTCAAAATAAAGTTTGAGAAGCTCACAAGTTAGACAACTGCTGATTTGGAATTTAATGTTTACATTTTTAAAACTTGTGATCCGAAAGCTCAGTTTTTATTATTCAGAACAATCAAGCAAACAAGCACCATTTCAGTTCTCCCACCCACACCTTGATAGCATCTGACTGCAGCTGTTTGCTGATGATCCCAAGACATAATGACTGAGAGGAGCCAGTCTACAGGACCACACATATCCAGTGAATGCATCAAAAGGACTTCTCTTGGAGGTCTCACCTTCTGACTTCTTATATTCATGACCTGGACATGTTTCTCTTCTTGCAGACTAAATAAGGGGTAGTCAGTTGGCAGAAGACTTGAGCAGTGCACCCACCCTTTAGCTCAATAATGGGGGGTCCTCAAAATCAGATGTTTTTAACTTTGATTGAAAAGATGTCCAAAGCACTGGCTTTCAGGAATGTTGAG